ACAATTATTCTTTTTAACACAAAATCGCCCCAAACTTCTGGAACATATATCCAGTTATTGGGGGGAATAACCCCCCCCCCCCCTCCCCCATAACAGAAGACCACCTGGTCTTCTATTTTGTCTCTCAAGTCAAGCTCTAAAGGGTGGTCTTCTATTGCGGTCAAAATAGGGCATTTTCCGATTTTTTTCGCGGACATAATAGAAGACCACTGATCTTCTATTTGGCTTTCAAGCCATATAATCGGCATTGGTCTTCTAATAGGGGATGGTGTTCTATTATGGGCGGGGGGGTTGGATCTGAATTCTCGTAGACAAAGCATAATATTCTTCAGACTAATCATAAGAGTTAGTTTTCCTAGAGCATAATATTCGTGTAAAGCCCAAAATTCCTATTTCTGTCTTTTCTCCTCACGTAGCAGTAACTGTATCAAAAATTCTACTCATCATTCCCATAGAAACAACATAATAGTCGTTTCTCAATTTCTTACCCGCTGTCGATTTTACGCGAAGTTTGGTACGGGATGGTGATAATTAATATCAGGGTTAAGTATGTCCTCGTTTAAGCTTAACTTCCTTAAAGTCTATGATTCTCCTTGAAAAGCAAAAGTTCAGCCCAAGCAGAAAAAATATATCGACTATCGGACGATATAGCTAGCTAACACGATACATTACTAGATACTGCTAGCTAGCCCAGTATATTATTCGATATATCGACCGTTGGATACTGACCTTTCTTGCAGCCACTGCACCAAAATATGTAACACATATACTTCACAAATTTACAAAGTTCTTATTCACATCAAGCCAATATATTGAGCAATAATAGACTTATGTATTGGGGAAGGTTGCTTTCAGTAATATATTACAGAAAGCAGGATGTTTGTATGCAGACATCCCGGGATGCAGTATAGACAGTATTCTTTATGCGGTCAATACATGAGTCAATATATCTAATTTCATAGCTAGTGGCGCATTGGTATCGGATACTGTCCACAATATATCGATTAAACAGATACTTTAATCAGTGTTTCTCGTGAATCGGATATATCGAGTACGATATCTAGTCGCTAGCTATCATATCCGATATAGCTAACTAACTCAATAAAAGTGGTACGGATAGCTAGCTACTATAATCCGATATTGCCCGATAATATATTTTTATAGCTAGATATTCTCAACGCCATTTTTTGCTCGGGAGGAATTGAAAAACTAGCGCATTACCACCGCCTGCAATTTCACTTACCTGTTCTCCTGACATCCTTCGCAAATAGGGTCTAAACGGATTCCAGTATGATCCAACTAAGGCAAATGTCTTAATATGCAAATTAAGACCTTTTGCAGCACAAGTTGGTGGATTAGTTTCATTGTCAAATGTTTGTTTGGCAACAATTGATCAATACTTTGTAACATGTCGAAAAGTTCGCATACGAAGATTAAGTAAATTGTCAACAGCTCGATTAGTAATTTTATTAACAATCATATTATGGTCTGGACATGGTCTGCCACTACTACTATTGTACAATATCTATCCCGTTATACAGCAAAATCAGACCACCACAGTTTGCAGTCCAAATTCGACTCCCTATACCTTATATAACGTTTATTTTATAAATCTAATCCTTTTTGGTCTTTTACCATTATCAATAATGATTTTATTTAGTTTAATGGTATGGAAAAATATGCAAAAAGTTGGCGCTGTTCCATCAGCACGCTACAGGTATGATCGTCAGTTAACTCAAATGTTATTATTACAACTAACTACAATTATAGTCTCATTGATTCCATATTGTGCACAAACCACATATTCTGCAATAACTATGAACGAACAGAAAGATTCATTACGTTTGGCTGGAGACACCCTATTTGTATCAATATCAAATTTACTCTTTTACCTGGCTTATGTAACAAGTTTCTATATTTACGTGATATCGTCAAAAGCGTTTCGTAGCAAATTAGTAAAACGAATACCAAAACTATATTATAAAATTTGTCACAAACATCCTCCGCAAGAACGTCAGGCAACAGCACAAATTCCTACTGTTTCGATGGAAACGCCTATATGCTAAGTTAATATGAGGTCAAACTTGCGCCTGATTTCGAATTTTTTACTCATCGTAAGCTTTGTGTAGCTTTAAACGAGCTTTTGTGTCCGTTTGTCGTTACTTTATCGTCTTATTTATTACACAAATTCTAGAGAGAAATTTCATTTGATTAAATGCATACGATTTAAACTACTAGAGAAGGTCATCTAAACGCAGACTTCTTGTTCTTATGACAGAGAAGAAATGCGGAGTAGACTGAGTGCTTGTCTAAGGATAGAAGTTGGGTGTTCAAGAGGTATTGAAAATATATGTCAAGAATAGGTTGTAAGAATGGAAAAGTAGCGTTAGTAACTTTGATAAACACTCTGAAACCGTCATATTTGGAGAAAACATATTGATATGTTTGAGAATCTTCTTGAGCATGTCTTTTCTATCTAATTCACCAGTCGCAAGGATTCGATACATCGATCAGGTAAAAGAAAAAACTACAAGTTTAACAGAACAGCTTTATCGTACGGTGAAAACAGAATGTGGCTGTGTCTTGCTCGATAACGAGAAACACCATCGCAAGAAGTGAGCTCACCAGTACAACAAAATGTAAAAGTATCGAAATAATACGGGCTTTGCGCTTTCCGCAGAAGTATATAAAATAAAAGAATGCAACAAGAAAAATAAAGCTTTCTCCACTATAGAAACGGGTTATAAAAGTATTTTCCACCAAGAGTCTGTCTGTAATATTAAGTTTGGAATTTTAGTTGCTTACTGACCACAGCTTATTACAATTGGACAAATGTCAATGCAACTGTCAAACTTTCTAATTTGCACTTAAAGTCAGGTTCAAATATACTAACGTTCTGTGAACAACAAAAGCGTTTTCGATTCAGTGCGTTTTATTCATAGAAAGTCTCATTATAACGGAAGTAACCATTCAAACACTGATACATGACACAAAACAGATACCATGCAATCAGAACACAATATCGAAAATGATGATTATAGGATCTTTTCTTTAACATTGCAATTTATACATGGTTACTTGCATGATAATGCGGATTTTAATGAGGAATGAATGAATAAATGAATAGAATTGAGCTCACTTTTGTTCCCAGCCATGGGTGGGCCGGTAAAGATTTTTTAGGGCCGGCAATAAATTTTTTAGGGTAGTGCATACACAAATGTGCTTCCTTTCATACTTTTTGTCGGTGTTAACACACGTTTTCAGTCATTTAAACTATATATCAGATTTTTCTATCATAAATTGCTCCCCAACGTTCCTCCCAACAAATATAGATTTTATGAAATCAGTGATTTGGTACCCATTTGTTCAAAGAACATGAGTCATTCTGTAGAGCACATCCAGCTATATATGTTGTGCAGAAATTGCTTTCAACAGGCACATTCTGGATAGGAAATGAGTTTTTTAACATTGGAATACCATCCAAATTTTCAGTAGAATAGTCATCCTTAGAAAAAACATTTTCATATTAAACAAATAAAGACAATAACAGCTTCGAATGACGAAGTTTGTCAAACGGTGCAAAGAAAAAGTTATAAATGCAAACATTTAATATCTCGGAGAAAAATATGTTTTGATCACGAAATTTGATTCTATCGAAATGATCACCAAAAAATAACACTTTTGATGACTAAATTAATTAGTAGACAGAAAAGAAAAAGAATATAAAGAAAATGTAGAAGAAGAATGTACATAGGACAAAAAATATGACATAGTTATAGTTTCAACAGCAGCTATAACGACGTCATTCTTATTCAAAATAAGTTTTTCAAAGCAAATTTATCTATTTTCGGCGTTTCGACGATTTTATCGTCATTTTCAAGAAAAGTTTACACTTAAGACACAAAAGGAAAGGAAATTGACTTGAATTATAGTATAGAAATGAGAATAAAGAAACCGCTGAATCATTATACACTGATAGATAAAAAAACGTGTATAGACCTCTATTATTTAGTTTAACTTGCTTTCTTAGTACTAAGAATCCTCCCAACGTCCTCTAATGATCATCTGCTACCCCTTTTGAACTTCACAGTCGGCTTCCTTTGGGTGAGCCCTTCGGGAAATACAATAAGCGGCACCGAACGAACAGTTCTATTTAATATAGGTTGATGACATATAATGGCCAAGGATTCTTTGATGAGAAGAGGATAACGACGTTGATCTTTTGCAATAATTTTGTAATGCTTCCAATCAGCTTTGTGGCCGATATCAAATTTATGTTGGTGGATAGCTGATTTAATTTCTGACTTGGATTTCTGTTTTACGTCTTCAAGAACTTCTTCTAATAGAGGTAATTCATCAAAAAATTCTATTGGTGCTTACTTTTTTCGTGTTGAACGACGAAATTCGGTGGTGATTGTTGCTGAGAGGATATGGTGATGAACGTATCAGGAGAAGAAGGTGGTTCAGGCATGCCATGTTCGTAAAAACGGCTTGCAAATAGTCATTCAGTTTGCCCAATGTAAGAAGCTGGGCAATTCCCACAATTGGTACCGTATACGATGTTAGACTGAAGTTGTTTAGGCAGCGGGTCTTTACGTTTTCATGAAGTCATATTTCTTGTTCTATGTACATTCTTCTTCTACATTTTCTTTATATTCTTTTTCTTTTCTGTCTACTAATTAATTTAGTCATCAAAAGTGTTATTTTTTGGTGATCATTTCGATAGAATCAAATTTCGTGATCAAAACACATTTTTCTCCGAGATATTAAATGTTTGCATTTATAACTTTTTCTTTGCACCGTTTGACAAACTTCGTCATTCGAAGCTGTTATTCTGTTTATTTGTTTAATATGAAAAGAAACGTCTGCTAAAAATTTAGTACGTTGAAATAGCGATCGTTTGAGATGTATTTTGCACATGAAGTTGTCCTGTTTGTAAGGTGACACGACAGGTATGTAAAGAAATTTCGTCAAAATGCTCAGTTGCTCATAAGTATTGAACTCAAACTAATGTCCATCGGGTTATTACTGTGATGATGGTATAAAACCGTATAGTGATATAATATTTCGTGGATCGTATAAAACTAGGGTTTTCTCCATTGCTAAGTTCAGTATTAATGACGTGCTACTCGAAGGACACCTAGAGGCTAATGGAATGCGATCAGGAAGATAGTAGATACACGTAGTTTTAACCCCAAAGCTGTAACCGTACGACAGCGCATTTGGTCAAAAATCGATCTACTATTTGCTTTTGTAAAACAGAATGTGGAAGCAATAGAACATATGAATTTACATTAGTTTAAGCATTTACAAGAAGATGAAAAGCCCTCCTGCCCGTATTTTTTATATGTGACAGATGAACGCCTTCCACATACATAACTTGTTCTTTTTAGAAGATCTTGAATGTCACGATCTCGAATCACATCATCAACTAACATGAGATGCAAAAGTAATGAAAAATAAATAGATGAAAATGTAGTTCGCGCAAAGCTCTATTGATGGCTTTACTTAGAAAATTTCTTAATAGTTTTTTAATAGTAAAAAGAACGTATTATAAAACTTAGTTTTGGTAGAAAGCACTACTTGCATGAGAAAGATGGAACATCGAGAAAATTTCTCTATTCAGGTCTCAAAATATGTTAGTACAGGTTAAAGGAGGGGGGCGCATAAGGCCGGGAATCGGCCCACTCTCTTTTTTGACTAAAACTGGATCCATATGTAGTAAAAAAAGTGCCTCTATTCCGTTTTCGATAAAATCAGATACTTTTGTCACGTAAAACCCGGTTAATTCCTGAACAATAGCACCTCAAAC